ACAGCCGCAGTGTGAGGATTCGATTTTTACCTCTTACAAAGTATGAAATTTGATCTTTGTGAGCATCAGTATGACAGTTCTTGTATCCGGCCTGTTGAGACACATCCCGCGATTTACCTCCTCCACAATGTTCTAAGGACGGGGCGGTGGAAACCCACAAGGTTAGGGTTCAACCTTTATTAACGAGGTTTTGTTATTTGTACATCGATATTGATACTTTGGTGTTTGCCCCCTCACAAAAGAGGGGGGCCTACGTCCAAAAAAGAATTCGTGAACCCCATATTGTGAGAGACTTTGTACATCGATTTACATATAATAAAACCATTATTAAAGGGACCTTGAAAATTCATTCTTTTTCTATTAAAAAAATCCTCAACTTTATACAATAATTATTTTAAGACAAAAAGATGTCAAGGTCACTTCTTTATCTACTTGTCATAGGTTTAGGTAATAAATTAGAGCTCTGCTTACATTATAGGGGCATGCCCCTACACATTTTTTAAAAAAAATACATTTGGGTGGGACCCGCACTGCAATGAGGGGCCTGAAGGCCCCTGTGAAACTAATTCCTGTACACCAGGAATTATTCAATAAATAATCATGCAAGTCTAAGCTGTGTGATACCAATTAAAATTCAAATTTTAATTCAAGTTAAAGTTAACAATTATTTTTAACAATATATTTCACGGATCCCACAACTTTTCAACCATATAATTCGTTAACTTTTATCAAAATCTACTAAAAATCTGATTTTAATCCCCAACAAACAAGGGCTAAATATGATGTCTAATCTTCTTCTAAGATTATACTTTACTTTTTCAAACATTAATAAAATATCGACTTACCTTAGGTTGTTATTTGATTAAATACAATTGTCTAACCATAAATTGATATTAAAAAATTTGTCCAAACATAGAAAATCAATAAAAAAAAAGTGACAAAAAGTTTGAATTTTGCCTTCTTGTACTTTACCTTTTCGTCAACATTAATAAATTTCAACTCAACTTGATCAATGGTTTGATTAAAAACAACAATTCAAAGTATAGAAAAGAATATATAATCCAAAAATAGAAAATAAATAATTAATGGGTGTCAAACGTGGGCTAAATACAATTGTCTAACCATAAATTGATATTAAAAAATTTGTCCAAACATAGAAAATCAATAAAAAAAAAGTGACAAAAAGTTTGAATTTTGCCTTCTTCTTAAGTTGTACTTTACCTTTTCGTCAACATTAATAAATTTCAACTCAACTTGATCAATGGTTTGATTAAAAACAACAATTCAAAGTATAGAAAAGAATATATAATCCAAAAATAGAAAATAAATTAAAGAAAAATCTTGAAAACAGGATCCCTCATTGGAATTTTTTTTGCTAACGTTATCAAATATAATTAATAATTTATCGTGATTGAGAATGTTTGTAATAAAATTCCACCTCAAATTATCCTTGCGATTGTGATTTAAAAAGTCTATCCAAGTAATGAATAAAGTTGCAAGTATGATTCTTTGCCAGAATTAGAACATGTAACCATTCTATTCGCCAGTTTGTCTATTTTTTTTTTTTTTTCTTCCAATGAAAATGTTCCAAGTGTATTTTTTGTAGATTTTTTCCGTACTCAGAGACTAACTCCCAAGTAGTAACTCGGAAAAAAGTATAGAAAACAATCTTGTCCAAGAATACAAAATCAAGAATATATATATATATATATACAGAAATGATCTAATGAGTATCGGTGCTCATCTTATCCTAAGTACCGATGAGTTGGCACATTAATTCATTGGTGGATTGGAACTCATAAAATCTTTATCCACCAATGAATCAATGTGCCAACTCATCGGTGCTTAGGATAAGATGAGCACCGGTGCTCATTAGATCATTTCTGTA